GAATTCCCAGGACTTTTTGCAAACTCAGTGTTTTGATTCACACACTCCTTCTCAGCTCCAAGGCCTAAATATTCCCTTCTGATTCTAATTAACTGAATGCAGGTGCCCCTGGATTAACTTGTTCCCACACTATTCTAGGGATAATTCATTGTATCAACTAACTCTTACTAACTGGGATAATGTCATGGTGTGTACCTCTCACCCATATGCCTTCTTGGCTGCACCTGACAGGTGCAGGTGTTTTTTCCAGCCACTTGCTGTTAGTGCTAAGGAATGACTTTTCATGATGGAGAAAAAAGTGTTTTCCAAGTGAGAGGAGGGGGAAGGAATGTGCTTGAAGTTGCAGGTAAAAAAGTTCTACTTTCATAGCAAGAGCTATAGAGGTTTTTTTCTTCTTGAGTCTTTGTAGGATGACAAATCTCTCTTCTCTCTCTCTCTCTTTTTCTCTCAATGTTTCTGTTCCTTTTGTTTTGAACTAGGTAAACTCTTTCTTTCTTCCCTCTCTTTCATGAACTTCTCCCCTGTTTTGTAAGTTATATTCATTCTGCTTGCTTTGACATATGGTTTTTAATGCCCTAGAGAGATCTTCTCTGGCTCTTGTTTTCTATCTTGGTCCTTGCTGACCACCTACTGAATGGTCATGTGCTTTATAAATCATTAGAATAAAAGGAGGGTTAATTTCCATGGTGCTTCCTTTATCCTCTGAAAATACAATGAGATGCCATGAAAATGCATTGAAATGAGTTTCTGTTTCTAGCAACACTTTTTGTATTTGCAGGAAGGTAGCAAGTGCAATAAGCACTGGAGTTCCAAGAGTGTTGGCACTGGGAGACTTGAGTAATTCAAGCAAGGAAGACAACATGTGACATAAGAAAATCAATGACAGACTTCTCATGCTACTACTAACCAGTTACCAGTTATAATCAGTTAACATACAGAGGACCATCTGAAAAGGAAAAAAAAATCAGCAAAAACATAATAATAATTAAAAAAAAATCTTTCCTGAAGGTCGGAGCGGTTGATGAATTTGCACAGTTTACTTGCCTCTAAGTTACTGGAACATGAACTCTCAATGTATCGTAGCTTTTGGAGAGATGTGGAGAGTGTGAAGAGGTGTGAAGATACAATGTTGCCCTCAGATTTGGCAAGAGGCTTCTGGAGATAATTTGTAGACGTGACATGAGAAAGAAATAAAAAAGAAAGCTTAAATGGTATTTCAATGCGAATTCTTGAAACCATTGATTCCTGACAGAAGTCCAGTAGGGAATGCAATTATGAACCAAACTGTCTTAGCCTCTGCCTCAGCCTGTTAAATGAATGCCTTTATCTGGCATGTGGCCAATGGGTGCATACACCTTCAGAGTTTGGATATAATATACATTATGTAAATTACAATAATAGATTTTTTAGTGGTTTGTAAGTCTGATGCAGGTATTCCTTTTTTCCCCGTCTTTCCCCACTACTTTGACCATGTGTTGTGCATGTTTCCAGTGAGGATAACGTTACATGGAGGCAAAAAGAAACTGGATGTTCTAGTGTAGGGTTATTTAATTATTTTTTGGAGTTTGTTTTGAAATTGCTTTCTTTGGGCGTTGGTAATTGTGGGGGTTTTCTTTGTTGGATTTTGAAAAGATGACAGCTGATCTTTCTGTTCCCTGTACTGCTTTGATCCAGTCCAAGTGTTGCATCATTTCCATAGTCTGCAGGTCTGGGAACAGCTTTCGAAGTCCTGTCCAAAGCATGGACACAACCTCCTAGTTCTCAGCATTTTTTTCTCTCAGCTCCCACCTTTCTCTGTGTCAAAATGCCAGTTGTTTTTTCTATCCATAGGATCTTTCAACTCTGGGCACCTCCTGATGTTTAGATATACATAATTTTTTTTCTTTTCTTCTTTTTCTCTTTTTTTTCCCCTTTTTTCTTAGTAAGCGTGACCATGTTCCCAATTTATTGGTCCCTAGTGTTTCTGCTGTGGTGGTACTCAGTAGGGTAAGGAAAGAAGCACTGGCAGCACCTGGTCCATTCTGTGGGAAAGCTTCTGTTCACGTTAGGAATTGCATGTTTGGCTTGAATAAGGAAGGAAGAAGCCTATATTTGAAAGATGAGACCCCAGCACATTAATACCCTGGCTGATTGACACAATCCACTTCAGAGCCACTTGAGTGGAACACAGTACGATTATTTCAAATGTCCCACATATTTGCAAGCATATGTATTCATGGGAATTCAGTTGTTAGGATCTTCAGATCTTAGGGGGTATTTTCTTTGAACCAATTTGCTGATCTGACAAAACAGACTGTAGCATATAATTTGAAGAATTAAAAGCTAGTAGCTGACAAATTTAAGATTAAGAATGGTTTTCATAGAATAAGTATCTGATGTTTGGTGTTGATGATACGTAGTAGAACCATTCAAAAATGCTAACATGGCCTCAAAAGAACTAGACAAAGAGCAAAAGTCCTCTCTGTTCTTTTTATTTTTGTTGTTGTTGTTGTTGTTGTTTGTTTGTTTTGGTTTTAACTGACAAAGACACCACAGGTGATTTTCCCAGCCACTTGCTGTTAATGCTCAGGAATGTGTTTTCATGAAGGAGAAAAAAGGTGATTTCAAAGTGAGAGGAGGGGGAAGGATGCTACCAAACTTTGGAATGGCTGTGGCTTTTCTGTTTTCCTGAGCCTGCTGTCCTGATGCCTGTGGCTCTGCGACAGATCTCTGTGGCTCAGCCATGTGCCCAGGGAAGCTCCCAGAGGGAAGTCACAGGCTCCAGATGCTTCTTTGAGATGCCATAGCACTGCAGCAGCACAGTGATGTGTGTGAGCAGGTCTGTAACTGGAACAAGCATTCCCATTTTCAGTTGGAAGCATTAGTGGACAAAGGTGATGTTTCCTTTGGTTTGGTCACATCCCGGTTCCTTCTCAGTATTCATCCTGGGGTACAGGGTACATGTGCCTGGTGCATTGTTTGACTTACTCTTGGATCCTTTGAGAAACAGGTTATGGAGTACGAGGGGCTTTGTGCTGCTTTGAGACAGGAGAACTTTCCAGGCGGTTTTTGTGTTTGCTGTAGAGAAAGTTTGGTTGCTATGCATAAATTCATGAACCAACCTCGAGTGGCTGCTATTGTGATGTCAAGGCAATGTTGCTATGTCCTTGTGGTGTCAAAGGCATGTTGTCCTGATGCCCAGAAGGCCTCAGTGTCCTGAGCGGCTTTGGTGCTAGCTCATTGCAGGCGAGCTCTGCTGCTTGAGGCGTTTTGAGTGGACAGTGAGACCCCAACTGGGTGTTGTTTTCTTTCAGTTTTCTCAGCGGTGAGCTGAAACCCCAACAGAGGTGTCTTTTCTTTTCCCTTTTCTCAGCGGTGAGCTGAAACCCCAACAGGGGTGTCTTTTATTTTCCCTTATCTCAGCGGACAGTTGAATCCCACAGGGCTGTCTTTTTTTTTTTTTTCCCTTTGTGGAATACAGTCCGCAGACTTGTGCAGGACTGCTAAACCATGGAGCCACTCTCTGCTGCAGTTTGCAGTGTTTTCACTGTGGCTTATTCGGGATATTATTTGACCAATCTGGCACGTAAGTACAGACTTTTCTTGGGTGGAGTACAATATGGCTTTGGTATTGCTGTGTTCTTTCTGCTCTTCATGAATGACTGAGGTGATTTGAAACAAAAATGCCATTAACATGCCACTAGTTTGGTAAAGATCCTGTCAAGAGCTTCAGCCCCAAAAGGGGTGTCTGTAGCCAGCGGAGTGCAGACAGCATTTGAAATGTAACCTGAAGGGGTTCCATTCCCTCCACCAGATAGTGTGTGGCAGTGGAGTCTGTAATTTCCTCAGCTGGCTGTTAAACCAAGACAACTTCTAAAACGCAGACTGGGAGAGCTTCTCAGCTGGAAGAGCTCCCCAGAAATACCTCTGAAAACTCTGTGGTTCTCTTCAGAAGTGAAGGAAAGCATCTTTTTTTCTCAATTCCGTCATTAAAGGATTTGGCTTTCTAACTTGACACTTTGCTGGGTGCTAAACTAGCGACTCCCTTTGCCATGAAGTGCCAACTCCAAAACAGTTGGTGTACGCTGCTGAACCCAGGAGCTGTTCCCGTGCTATTTCAGAATAAAACTGCTATGACTAAGGGGGATTTTGTGGAAGCTTTTCTGGGGAAATGTTTTCAGCAAGTTAATGGGAGTTAGTGCATGCAATTTATTAAAAAAAGTAAAGTACAGGAAAGAGAGGAAAAAAAAGCTACTTTAGCTGTTGGATGGAACAGACACACTAGCTGTTAAAGAACAATTTGCATTTTCTTGACCAAGTTACTGTTCTATATATACTGACCAAACAGGTCAGTACATAAACAGGGCAAAATGTAGGCACAACCTAGCCTATTGTCCTGTTCTCTTGCTTGCTGTGTGAGAGAACTGTTTATCCTGGAGTGGTCTTGTGAGAGGAACATGCTCTCCATTGACTTGTCCTGTCACCACAGGCAGTTTTCTAACAGCATCTGGTTCATCTTCCCTTGCCTGCTGCAGGTCACCTGACCCGTGGATGGAGAGAGGTGCGTCCTTTGGTGAGTGGGAAAGGAACCTCTGACGTTCCTGACGTTTAAGAATTGTGGAGCAAGCTGCAAGCGTGACCTGCTGCAGTAGAGTGTAGAGTGCCAGCCTGGTAGGCTGAAAGAAAGTCCATTTCAATGTCTGCTGCTGCAGCAGCAGCAGCAGCAGCAGCAAAGGGGTCGCGAGTTATTTTTTAATTCTCTGTCTAAGAGCTCTTCAAGACAGAAAAGCCAGCTTTGCAGAAAGAAGGTTGCTGGCTGATTCTAGCCAGGGTGGAGTATCACATTCAGAACAATATGCAGTGCCATCTCATTAGCCTATTTTGGTTTAGTTCTAATGACTTAGAGTCCCATTTCCATCAAAGTTTATGAGTTCTTTGTACAGCTGGGTATAGAGCTGAATAGAAATCAGGTTTTAAACGGCAGGTTGCTCCCTGTCCCTCATGCTGCTGTCTGTCCACAGAGCACAGAATCATCAGCACCTCCTCTGACTCCCTCTGGTCCAGAGGAAGAAGCTAGAGTGGAGGAAAATAACGGCAAATGTCCAGCTGTTGTCACACCACTGCCTGAACAGTCCAAAACAGTAAGTGCCAGCTTTGGTTGGCACAGTCTTTGGTGCAATGCAGAGCTGCAAGTTCCTGGTCAGACAGCATTTGCCGATAGTGGCTGAAGACACTGAGGGCTGGAGTTGTGCCATGACATAACGCTTCCCCCCAGCCACTGACATCCAGAAGAAGGGTTTTGAACTTTCACCTTTGGGCGTCAGATTCTTGGGATTCAGAGAGGGCCCATGAATCTCTCTTGGTATCAGATCAGAAGTAGTGTTTTGTCTGTAAATGCTGCCAGTGTAAAAGTGAGCAGCTCTGTGCACAGTGTGCAGGGTCCCCATCACCAGTGGAGAGAGCGGTCGAAAGACACAGGTCACAGCCTTGCAGGATGCATAGGTGACAGTGTCCCCTGGAGAGACTTGCCCCTCCCCACTGAGTATCTGTGGAGCTAAATGAACAGCTCAGACACAGCTGGGTATAGGGCTGGGTATGTAAATGAGGTCATAAGTGATAGGTTATTCCCTGTCCCTTATGCTACTGTCTGTCTACAGAAAAAAGAAATGGCATTAGAACCTCTGATGGCTCCCCCTCTTCCTGAAGAAGAGACCGAAGAAGAGGCTAAAGATGTGGAAGATACAAAGGAGCCACCAGAAGCAGCTGAGTATGGGAGAAGGGTTATAAAGGACAGGTCAATCCCAGCCTTTCACGCTGCTGTCTTTCCACCAAGCAGAAAACCAGCATTTGAATCTTCTCTGGTTCCACGTGTTCCTGAAGGAAAGGTTGAAGAGGAGGAATATGAGGACAACTCTCCACCTGTTGTCAGACCATGGCATGAATATTCCAAGCCGGTAAGTGCCAGCTTAGGTTAGCACAGTCCTTGGCGCAACGCAGAACTGCAAGTTTCTGGTCAGACAGCGCTTGCTGTTCATGGCTTGAAGGCACTGAGAGCTGAAGTTGTGCCATAACATAACGCTTCACTTTACTGCTGTAGAAGTGTGCAGCTCTGTGTGCAGTGTGCAGGGTCCCCATCACCAGCAGTAGAGTGGCCCAAAGACACAGGTCACAGCCTTGCAGGATACGCAGGAGACATTGTTCCCTGGAGGGACCTCCTGCCCCTCTCCACAGAACATCCAAGTCACCACTGGTACAATTTAGACTACACTCTTAACTTTGACATGACCCAGGTTTGGTGAGAAGAATCCTACACAGCTCTGCATCATAGAGAGAAGGTCGGGCTCTGAAGGGCTGGAACGCAGCTCCTAGCAGCTGCTCCCTAAAGCCTGAAATACTGAGGGGAAATCAGTTGAACTGACCAGAAAAGGCAAATGCCCCCTGCTTCTATTCAGACACTTACCTTCCAACTCCAGAGTCGTTTTGTTACCCATGTAAAGACCCCCTCATCACAGCTTTTGCCTTCAGGTGAGCTGTGTCTCTGCTTGCTGCTTCTCCTAGATCTCTGGAGCTGTCTTCCCTACTCCTTATTGCTTGTTTGTGCTCTTTCCCTGCCCGCTTCTTGCAGGACCTGGTAGAAGAGCTTTTGGCCAGTCAGGACTCCTCAGCCCAGGTGAAAAAGGTGGAGCGGCAGGAGAGGATGCACAGAGGGCACAGTGTCTGGGAGCTCCTGTGAGTGTTAAGCTTTCTCACTTTCTCTGGGCAGGGGTGGGCAGTGCTGCACTTTGAGAGGCCCATCGTCAAAGAGTTAATTTTGCACGCTCATCATTTGTAGCACAGAACAGAGAAGGGAGCACGTGGGCAGGTCTGGCTACCTCCTGACACACAGCACAGCTGCCTCCTTGTACTTGCTCTATGAACCGTCCAAAAAATCATTCCATACAGGACCAGAGTGGCTGGGAGCAGGCAAAGGCTGAAACAAGAGAGATTCAGACTGGGTTAGGGAGAGCAAAGAATTGAAGCATGAAGCAGGTGGCTCAGAGAGGCTGTGCAGGTTCCAAGCCTGGACATTTGGAAGATCCAACCACAGAGAGCCTTGAGCAACCTGTTGGGATCCCATAGCTGACCCCAAGTGCCGTGAGCTGAAGATTGGGCTAGAGGCCTCCTGGGGTCCCTGCCAGCTTGAGTCATCCCGTCATCCTCCGATTGTTGGATTGGAAATTCATACATATCTCCTGCCCACAGACATTGAGGGCTCTTTTGTCATTTCACTGCTGAAGGCAAGAGTCATTGTGGGAATACTAACCTGGCCTTACCAAGTCTGTCTTCCCCAAAGAAGACCTTTGAGAAGTCTTGTGTCCAATGTAGCAAAAAGGAGCAGGCAGAAAGCCATTAAGTTGAGAATACCTGAGCTCTTTTGGAAATGGTGTGTGATTTCCGGAAGCTTGTTTTACTTTCTCAATGTCAGTGACAAAGAGGGATGCAGCTCTAGTCAGGAAATCCTTTAGGTGGAACTAGAAGGTTGTTGGAAATCACTCAGACTGCCACATCTGGGACGGTGCGTAGTCTTGGTTTTGGAAATTAGACTGTTTTGCTATTTAAAAGCTTGTTTGTCTTTCCCCTTCTCATAGACTGAAAGGCTTAGCTGCCCTTGAGAGGAAGCACTCCCTATTACAGAGGGAGTTGGGAGTTGTGAGAGAGACACTGGAGCAACCACAACTTCAGAGGGATCTGCTGAGAGACAGAGGAGAGAAAGAGGAGTTTGGCCTGGAACTGCAGAAGGTATGGTCACCTTCTTCCTAGGCAGCACTTGTGGGAGAGGATGTTGTGGTAGCAAGACCACTGCAGATGGATGGTGTTTGGGGCAGTAGAAGATGGGGACAATGTTGTTCTCCTTCTTGGAAAATGGTGATCCAACTACACAGGCTCCCTGGGGTGCTTAGTGTCCACAAGCTTATTGGGAGCACTGAGCTGAGAGTATGTCAGAGACACACATTGGGGTGTGGAGTTGCTGCTTGAAGCCAGGGATTTTGCTGCCTTTGTTGTCATGCTGTTCTTTGATCCCCTCAGGCGGAGCAGTCAGTAGTGGAGCTGACAGGGGCTCAGAGTCAGCTGAGCGCAGAAATAGCAGATCTCCACCTTGCAGCAGTGAAGATGGGCGGCATCGGTGGGGCTCTTGCACTGCGTTGTGTGCACCTGCACCAGCGTGTGCTGCAGGTGAGCAGAGCTGCCAAGGGACTTTCCAGTTGTTTGTCTGCAACTGCTTCTTCTCCTCAGACCTCTTGCCTTCCGGCAGCATGACTGACTGACTATGGCAACATTCCTTTTTTTGTGAGAGCCAAACGTTCTTCATGGTAAATCTTCCTGTATTTGGTTTTCTCCGTCCTTCCAAGTGTAGCTGGAGCAAGAGAGGGAAGTTCCATCAGCTGAAGCGGACAAGACGGAGAGTACAAAGATCCCCATGGCAAAGAAGATGAACTTGTGTGAAAGAGGAAATGAAGGGATCTGTCCAAAGAAGACCTACTTGGAGAGGCTGCTGGAGGAGGCAGAGGAGAAACAGGAGGAGCTGCGGGTGGATCTGCTGATCATGGCTGATGAGAAGGCAGAAATCCAAGAGCAACTCCAGAAAGCAGAGGAGAAACAGGAGGAGCTGCGGGCGGACTTGATCATCATGGCTAACGAGAAGGCAGAACTCCAAGAGCAACTCCGGGAAACAGAGGAGAAGCAGGAGGAGTTGCGGGTGGATCTGATGATAATGGCAGAGGAGAAGGCAGAAATGCAAGGGCAAGTCCATCAGGTGAGACCAAAAAGCTGGTGCATCCGGGTGGGCATCTGGCTGCTTGGCTCAGTGAAGCTGTATCTGTTGGACTGAGCAGTGCCTTTGTCAAAGGGCCACGTGGTAGTGCTGGAGGTCAGAAGACTTTCTTTACTCCTTTCTGCAGACCTGTGGATGGCTTGCAGAGCTGTTCAGCAATTCTCTGAGTCGTCCTCTGCTTCTACAGAGCCTTTCAGTGCACCTGTCAGTGTCGGCCTCCTTTTTGGCTTTTGATAAGCTGCAAAGAGAGGATTGTGTTGTGCATGAATCTGCGGGGGGCTACTCTTCGCATGTGTGGCAAAAGAGACTCTGTAGTTCTGACACCTGTTTCCAAGGCAGAAAACGGGGCTGCCTGTCTCTGCCGATCATTTTTGTTGTGAAGTCTGCAACTTTGCATACTCCCTTTGCTTGAGCCTAGAGAGAGGGACAAAGCTGCAAGTCTGTGGCTGCTGTCTTGTACTGCTAAGAACAGGAAGGACATCTTGAAGTTTTTGAAATTGTATTTTAAGACATACGTGCAACTTTGTGGCTGGAAAGCTGCCTGGGGAAAAAGGACCTGGGGGTACTGGTCAGCAGCTGTCTGAACATGAGGCAGCGTGTGCCCAGGTAGCCAAGAAGGCTAAGGGCATCCTGGCTTGAATCAGCAGTAGTGTGGGAGTGGGACCAGGGCAGTGATTGTCCCTGTGTACTGGGCACCGGTGATGCCACACCTCGAGTGCTGTGTTCATTTTGGGCCCCTCATGACCAGAAAGACGTTGAGGTGCTGGAGTGTGTCCAGAGAAGGGTGTTCAGCCTGGAGAAAAGGAGGCTCAGGGGAGACCTTCAGCCAGACTACAATAAATCACTTAGTGCTCACTTAGGGCTCACCACACGGGCCGTTTTCCTGCCAAGCACACCCTCATTGCGTGCAACTGCTTTACACACTGAAGTAGGTGACACTTTCATCTTTTTTGACTGTTTTTTTTTCCCAGAAGGAGAAGCCCTTCTTATCATCACTTTCTTTAGCAAGCAAAGTTGCTTTTGCTCAACCTTTCTGGCAAATTTCTGGCACCAAAATAGATTTTGATTGAATTTTAGTTTGCAAGGAGGCAGTTCTGGAAGATGCAGTAGTTTTGCATGAAAACACCTAGTTTTGGGGTAGGGACATTTGTCGTGAAGGAGTTCTTCTAGTGCCAGGAAAGCCCATAGGGCCTTACACATCCCTTTCCAGTTAGCCGTTCCTTTTGGCGGCCCAGGGGATTAGTCTGTGTTGTGTGCTGAGAATGGGAATTTGGCAGAAAATCAAGCCCCTTGTGTTCCAGCTGGTCCTGGGGATCAAAGGGGCTGGGTGCAGCTGGGCTTGATTCCTCTTTATAGCCAGTTTAACACTGTGAGTCGGGTCGAGTTCAAAAGAAGAACTTGCGCGAGCACAGAGGCACAAACACTGCAGTTACCAATCCAGTACTATAGGAGGGAGGCCCTCAGCAGCAAGGCCAGACACTCAAGAAATGCCACACCCTTCCTGTTAGCCACCTAAGAGTTTGTTGGAGATTCAGTCCCGCATGGACCATGTATATGCTGCCAGTCTCACTTAGGAATCTGTGCCTCCCACAACAGTAGCAGCACAGTGCTTTGGGAATGCATGAGCCCATCAGTCTTTCAGTCTTGCCACACAAATGTTGTACGGGACGTTTAAACCTGCCTTCTCTTCGTTTCTGTGCAGGTCCTGCTAGAAAAGGAGCGTGAGAACACTAATTTATTATGCATGCTCCTGCAGACTCGGGAAGAGCTATTGCAAACACGGCAGCAGCTAGAGCAGCTCAGGCAGGAGGTGGGAGAGCGTCGAGAGAATGGGCAGCTACACCTGACTAGCCAGGTAACAGAGTGAGGGGCAGTAACAAGGGTATAAAACGTAGGTCTTGGGACTGAGGAGGCAAGGGCTGCTGCAAGCACTGAGAGCATAGAGCCTGGCAGGCTCTGGAGATCAGCACCAGGAAGCAAGGGTTAAAATGGAAGCAGAGCAGGGCTGGTCCCTTGGCCTGTTGGCCAGCAATCATCCCAATGGATTTCTGCTGGCTTGTTACTGCTAGCCTTGTTTTTTGAGGTGTTTTTTTCCAGTCAACAGAGTGACCCACCTAGAATTTGAAACCAGCTTGCCTGTATCCATTGTGAATCTGGACCTCACGATGGGGTGAAATTGCAAGTTGGTGTTTCCCTTTCCTCCCAGTCTCTGCTATGGCTGACAATGACAAGCTGTGGTCTCTGACTGCTTTGTTCTGTTTGACTCGAGGTGGAAGAGTCGACATCTCAGCCAGCAGAGATGTCCAAAGACCCTGAGTTTAGCTCAGTTCGCTAGAGCACAATGTCAATGAGGCCAGGGTTGTGGGTTTGGGGGCCGTAGGGGCCATTCACTTATGCACTGGACGTGATGATCCATGTGGGTCCCTTCCAACCCAGAATATTTTGTGAGTCCCAGCAACAGATTGGCTCCAAAGCTGAGCACGATCTGAATGAGGCATGGGAACTGTTAAGTCAGAATGTGCTGGAGGTTGACCAATTGCATAAGACTGTGCAGGAAAAGATGAGTCAGTGGGAGGGAGCAGCACATCAGAACAAGGAGCTGCAAGTGTGTCTGCAGTCCTTGGGGGAGGGAAAGGAGTCTCTCGGAAGAAATGGAGCAGTCATTGTTGCAGTCATTTTTCAGAAAAATCTGTGAAATTGTAACACGAAACTGGCCATGACCTTGTGTAAAATCAGCCTCTTAGTTTTGTCCATTCAGTTTGAGAAGTGGACATCAAAAAATCCCCAACCAGTTAAGAGCATCTTCCTAAGGGCTTGCATTTGAAATGTCATCTCGAGGCATCTCTGCCGCAGACTCTGACACAAACTCATTTCTCGTTGCAGATCTACACAGGTTCTGCCATTGAAGCTGCTGCTGCTGCAGCAGCACTGCCTGAAGAAGCCTCCGCTCCCCATCCTGAAAACTCAGGCACAGACAGTTTGTCCAGCAGCACAGACTGGGAGCCAGAGATGACAGAGGAGGAGAGCCTAAAGCAACTGAGTATGTCTGGTGTATTTCTTGTCCCATGGAGCAGTATATTGCAGGCAGGTCTCAGTACGAGCTGTACCAAAGGCTCCTCCTCAGCTGAGTGTCACAGAGGCTCTTACACCTCCCCACAGAAACTGTTGTTGTGCTTTAAGGCAGTCAGAGAGCACTTGGGGTGTTCCTCCTGCCCCTGAGGGCAGCTCAGACTGGGTTGAGTTTGCCTGAGCTTCCCTCTAGGCTGAAGGCAAAAGCAGGGATTGTTCCCGGGTGAGCGAATGACCTAAGGAAGTCCTGTGTGCGCGAGGCCAAACGGAACAGAATAGTTGGCTTCCTAAATTCTCTTTAGACTCCTGAGAGGAGTCCCTTCAGTTGGGAAAAAAAGTGGGTTAATCTGCACCTCCTGGGGTCTGGTCACAAAGCCAAGAAGGTCTCAATGGGGTAATGGCTTGTAATGGGGCTCAGACTAGCTGTGGCCTTACCAGCCCTTTGATTGTACCTGCCCGGCGACTGCTGGCTGGTGTGAGTGCAGAGGCTGGAGCCTTCCTTAGCTCTGAGATTTCAGCTGCTGCCCCACTGCTGCAGCGTGGAGCTGCTGGAAGGCGGCAGCCCCTGGTCTGGGCTGGCTTCTACCTGGACTTGGGAAAGGATCAGCATCTCATTGGGGCAGCTGTCTGTGTCAGGCCAGCGCCTGAGGAGCACTTCTGCCCTTGGGACCCATCCCTGCTGTTCTTTAAAACATAAAGGCATTCTTTTGGCCAACTGCTGAAAGGTGGAGAAGATGCCCTCCTCTCCTGAAAAACACTTTGCAACATTCTTTCTGTTCTGCAATTGCATCTGTTCATAACAATTCATGCCAGATGCCAAGGTGCATTTAATCTTTGGCAGTATTAAACCTTTTGCCGAATCCCCCACAGTGTTCATTCCCGAGAAAAGAAAGGTTCTGTTGTTCCGGCTGTCTCCGGCTTATAGATGACAAACACTTGCCTTGGTACCTGTTCTCTTCTGATCTCTGTCTGCTCTGACTATATCTCCCTGTGCTTACTTTCTTGTCAAGGTAACCCTTCAAGGGACTGTAGAAAATCAGACTTTTTGCAGGGCATCTCTGGTACGGAGCTGCCTGTCTTGTTGTTGTTGTTGTTGTTGTTGTTGTTGTTGTTGTTACCCAACTGACCACAAAGGGCTCCCAGCCCCCTCCAGACAGTGGGGCTGCATTTTGGATCTGCTGGAAGTTGGTTTTGATGCTGTTTTGAATTAAGCATCTTGCATTTTGTTTCTTTCAGGGGGCACTGTGAGCATCGGAAATCCAATGAAGAAATACACTGGATGGGAAAACATTGGCCAAGGGTGAGTGGACCCACAGTTACTTCTACCAAACCATGGGCCAGGTATTTTGCTGGTGTAATATCAAGCACGAAGTCAGGCAGGCTCCGAGAATGTTCAGACACTGGGTTCAATCTGTCCCATCTCTCAGTGCGGGTCAGAATTAATAACTGTGGCTTGAAGGCATCGTCAAAGATAACTCCCTGCTGGCAATGTCTTGCCGGTAGCAAGGAGCAGAATGTGCAAGACCTCCTGTCCCTCAAGTGTGTGGCACCTATTTGCCTGTTTTCTTAGGAGAAATCCTTTTTGTATGTCTCAAAATAATACGGCCATGCTAATGAAAGGAGAAGAAACTTTATTGCCCAAAAGAGCAACTTAGCACGTGATAGCTGTCAGATAACAGTTCTCAGTAATACTTCTTTCTCATATTTTGCTGAAAACAGTATTCAAGGGTCAGGATTATGATCACATAGTTTAGAAACTGAAACCAGGATGAAAGAATGAACTCTCTTTTCTACTTGAGGCAATAAATCCCCCAAATGCAGGAATGTACAGATAACCAACGCACTTGAGAGGAAAATGCATCATCTGCCCAATAGCAGACTTCTTGTGGATCCTGCAGTTTTTAGGGGTTTATGGAAAATAATCACCCTTTTTTAAACCCAGCTTTGCTTAGTGAATGTCAGGAGGCAAGAGCCAAAGAAATTACCTCCAAAGGAGAGTCCTTCAGGTGCCCGGTGTACCTAAAAAAAGCTGCTACCAAGGGCTCTTGACACAGAAGGAAGCTGCCTAAGGATCCTCTGTTTTGAGTCCTTCTCCACTTGTGTGTGGAACAATGGTGCTTTAACCCATTCTAGCTGTACCATCTCACAGGATGGCTGGAGACTGGTTTCCTTGCATGCTGGAGAAAGCTATGTCTAGATCCTTTCCTCAAACAGCTGTCGCATGTGTTCAGGCTTCTCAGAATGACAGTGTGATGTTGCCTGAGTTTGGCACATAGATTCAAAAGAGTAGAGTGAGAAGGCCCAACAGGACTGTACGTAGCCTGGGAAAAAAACACCTACACGGACAGACACAGAAAGGAGAAAGGGAAGGAAAACCCCCAGATCATTTAGGTGTGGATTTGAGATTGGCACCAGCCCTCTTTCTTCCTGTTGGACCTAAGTTTTTTCTCTTGGAGACCTTGCATGGCAGAGGGCTGTTGTGCTGCTGGCTGAAGAGTAGATGAAGCCAGGTGTTTTATAAACATTCCAGGCAGCAGAGATGTCCTGTCTGGGCTGGCTTCCGCTCCTAGGGACTAAAGTGTTTCTCCTTTCTTTGCTGCTGTTCTGTTTCTAGGGGTTTTGGAACCGTTTATAAAGCCCTCGACACTGCCACAGGAGGACAGGTGAGTGTCAACAACCCCCACTGACTCTGCAGCTCTCCAGTTCTTTCCTCTCTGGTGTGAGCTGTGGCTGGAGCTTTGGGTCGCTGGTAGATCTTTGCTGTAAAGGCAAAAGAAGCGCAGACTAGTGTCAGCCTGCCAAATGCACTTGTGACAGACTTCGTCCTTATGAACTACTAGGAAGAATGCAAGGAGGGCAGTGGCATCTTTCAGAGAAGGACGCTCTGGCTCAGTCTTAATTGCTAAATAGGCATTGACCAGCCGATGGCGACTGCCATCACTGAGGCCCAATTTCTCCTAATCCCAGCTTCAGACACAGATAGGATTTAGCATTTTTTTCCATCGATTTTCATCACCAAAGTGCAATGCAACAGCTAATGAAAGAGATATCATGTTTGGAACACAGTTATGTGTTTCGGACCTAGTGAAGCTGGTTGACGCAAGCTTGAGACTAAGGAGACGTTTATCAAGAGCAAAGATCTCTCCTAAGCAAAATGTCTGTGGTCATGTCTCCTGTGACTGGGAACCAAGGGAGCAGGGAAATAGGCTGTTGCAATGTCAGTTCCTGAGTACTCTGATGTCAAACCCCAAGGCAGTTTGGCACAGCTCGGCTGCGTCATTCCAAAATCGTGCGCTCCGTGTTTGTTGCAGTCTCGTGCAACAGACTGCTCCAGTCAATGATTTCCAATGCCATTTTAGGTGGCCATAAAGAAAATCAATCTCCTACAACAGAGCACCAGGGAACTGTTGAAAGAGATCCGGATCATGAGGGACAAGAAGAACCCCAATATTGTTACCTATTTAGACAGGTAAGTAGTTCTGGTATTATCATGTGAGTGTTCATTCACCTGCTTGCAAGGCAAAGACTAAAAAGACCTTTATTCCCGGTCAGAAAATTTATACAATGTATGGGAGGACATTGTGTTTTTTCTGTATTAGTCTTTCCTGGCACACATAGTTTGAAGAGTGTTTTCCAAAACCTGGATCAACCCTCTCTTACTAACTCAACAGCCTGTAAGTTCACTCTCTCCACACTGTTTTGTTGTTTTGGGCTTTGATCTGTTTCAGGTGTCTTATGATATACATGCTGATAAACCATCCTAGAAATGATTTCCCTTGGACTGTTGCCACTATTTTCCATTGCTGTGGGTGCCAAAACCTGGGTTCTTATTTCCGGAAACACATAATTTGCCAGTTTAAAATTTGATTTTCCTTTTGGTGAATGCACTTTATGCAAGGTTTTCCAAAGGGTTGACCAAATTCTGTCCTCAGTGGTGCACACACTGCTTGCCTGACAAAAGTTGTGTCTCCTTGTTCCTGGAGTTCATGGTGGAAGTTATGTGTTAAAATGATGACCCAGCTGATGGGATGTGACCCGGTTCCAGATTTATATTTGCCGTTACTAAACTGCCTTTTTCCTTTGCTTACCATTTAAGGGTGTGCCTTTCTCACTTAGGCTGCACAGACTGCAAGCACTGCACAGCCTAGATGGAATGTGTCTCCATTTTAATCTGTCTTCATTTGGAAGTGGCCTGGAAAGCAAACTCAGCTGTGGTCTTTTCCGCAAGCCAATTTAGCTGTGCACATGCATCTCCACGCCCCTGTTTTCTTCTTTCAGCTACCTTGTCAATACGGAACTCTGGCTGGTGATGGAGTACATGGACGGACACTCTTTGACTGATGTCATTAGCGAGACCAGGATGGGTGAAGAACAGATAGCAGCTGTGTGTAGGGAGGTAAGGGATCCCTCCGGTGCTTCTGATGGCTTGGGCAGGATTGTCTTTTGAGACAGGTGGTAAGAGCAGGAGTGATTTCATACTCAGAGCTTTGTTTCTGTGTTGCTGTTATGACATGGAGAAGAAAGAACATCTGAAATGAACTGCCTGCCAGTGTGCCTGCACTTAACGCTACTCTGTTCTCTGTGTCACATTTTCTGTTATGATCCTGTTGATACATTGTGATACATTGTCTCTCTCTTTTTTCCTTTTATTTGCTGTTCTTCATTTTGCCTCTCTAAACGTCTGCCTGGAGCCTGTCTGCACTGCCTTCCTTGCCTGTAAAAGCAAACATGCTGGTGGCAGAATGTTAAACTAATGGCAAAGAAAAATAGAGACTCATTTTTCACAGTCCTCAGCTTACAAAGATACCATTGCACCCAAAATGGCGTTTGCTTCTGAAAACTGACTAATGAGCTACTTCCAAGTCTGCTGTGCAGGCCAGCAATAATATCTTTGTCATGCAGCCACCTGCTCAAAAGAGATCCACTTCCTATCATTTTTGGCAAACTCCCATTTGTCCTCTGGATGGAGAGAGCACATGCACTGCAGCAGCAGTCATTCTGGCTGGGTTTGCAGCGCACAGTCTGTAACAGCAATTGCCTTTTCTATTTCAAAAGCTCATATGCCTCGACTTAGAAAGATATTGCTCTACTAGGGTTGGAGCAACAAGCTCTTCCTCAGGACAATACCATGTTGTGCCATTCCTGACCATTCTGCCAGGAGTTAAATCTTTGAGAGCAGTTTCCTTTCTTGTGTGACAAAATCAGATCACTAATTTTTACCCTCCTGTTTCTTTTTTCTCCCTCAGTGCCTGCAAGGATTGGCTTTCCTTCACGCCAACCAGGTGATCCACAGAGACATCAAAAGTGACAACATACTCCTGGGCCTGGATGGCTCTGTCAAGCTGGGTAGGTATTCTTGGTCAGCTGCAGCATTTCCAGGATGTGCTGTGAGGGCTGCTTTTGAGGTACTGCCAGTTCTCCAGAAGTGGTGCTTGTGGGAGTGCAGGGACCCCTGCTGCCAGCTGAGAGTACAATTCTCAGTCTTAGACTGGGGAATCCTTTTGCCTGGTTTCCTGACTGAAGCTGGCTTTAACAGTGTTTGTTTTTCTCCTCAGCTGATTTTGGCCTCTGTGCTCAGCTCACCGCTGAGCAGAGTAAACGGAGCTCGATGGTCGGGACTGTTCAATGGATGGCACCAGAGGTTGTGAGATGCCAACCATACGGCCCCAAAGCGGACATCTGGTCACTTGGCATCGTAGGAATAGAAATGGTGGAAGGAGAACCTCCTTACTTTCAAGAAACTGCTTTCATGGTAAGGCGCTACCAGCACCTCGCAGCTACCAGCGTCTTTCTATTCTGTCCCATGTTCTGTCGCCCATGAGACAAAATCCCATTCCCACCAGCCTGAACCAGTTCCAGCAAGATCCACTTCTAAAAATGTCTGTGGAGCACATCATCATCTGCTGTACCTTTGGTTCCATCCATGGGAGAACATCAGAAGAGAAGTGGCACGTAGCCAGTTCAGAATGGGCCATCTTGGCCTTCAGCAATGCTTGGAATTTCACATGTTATTTTTGAACTCTGTCTCTGAATGACAAGAATTTCTCAGTGGCAAGTTCAGAGGTGTGATCAATACCCTCTGAGATGCAGGTTGAATCATAGAATCGTAGAATAAGCTGAGCTGGAAGAGACCCATCAGGATCATTGAGTCCAACTCCTGGCCCTGCACCGGACACCCCAGGAATCACACCATGTGCCTTGGAGTATTGTCCAAACACTTCTTTAACTCTGTCAGGGCTGGTGCTGTGAGCACTTCCCTGGGGAGCCTGTTCCAGCACCCGACCACCCTCTGGGTGAAAATCTTTTTCTAATATCCAACTCAAACCTCTGCCGACTCAGCTTCATGCCGTTTCCTTGAGTCCTGTCACTGGTCACCAGAGAGAAGAGCTGCGGCTGCATTTGGGTTTTTTTGTGCTGGTAGAGAAAGTTCATCTCTAACCCTCCGCCAGGGAAGAAACTGCCAGTGGAGACTGAAGCTTAAAAAGTGGTGTCTAGGTGAGCAGCTATGGAGCTGGAAGAAACAGGTGGAGCCTTGTGTTTCCTTTTTCTTCAGGCTCGCCACCTGATAGCCACACGAGGGACACCAAAGCTGCAGAACTCCTGGCTACACTCCTTCCTCTTGCGTCACTTTCTGGACTGCTGCCTGCAGACAGACGAGGACAAGCGAGACTCTGCCGAGGAACTCCTGCAGGTAAAGTGCGGATCAGCTGCGGGCAAAACAGCTGCCTGATGTCAGGGTTTGCTCCTCAGGTAAACTCTGAGGCACCAGGTGGCTTCCCTCTTATCAGTCTCCAGTCTTGGTGCTTTTCAAATGAAAACTAAGGAGGATCCTAGACCAGTTTGGGTTGGAAAGGACCTGTGAAAGTCATCTAGTCCAAACCCCCTACCATAAGCAAGGACACCTTCAAGTAGATCAGGTTGCTACCAGCCCTCCTCTGACCTGACCTTGAATGTTTCCAGAGACGGGGCACCTACAGAAACTCTGTGCCAGTGTTTCACCACCTTCCTCATAAAAAATTTCTTCCTTAGACCCAATTGGAATCAACCCCCTTTTAGTTTAAAACCATTTCCCCAGGGCAACTGGCCCTGCTAAAAACTGTGTCCCCATCTTTCTTATAAGCCCCTATGCAGTATTGAAAGGTGGTCATAAGGTCTCCTCAGGGCCTGCTCTTCTCCAGGTTGAACATGCCCAGCTCTCTCGGCCTTTCCTCACGGCTGTTTTGTACTTTGGTGGTGTGTTCAGTTTTATCTGATTCTGTGGAAGTAGAAGGATGTTGGGTACGGAGTCCTGAAATGGCAGTGAAGGAACCCAATGAAACCAGTGCCAGCCAAGCAGTCAGAGATTTGGCTGTGGGAAGGAAGGGGCTGTGGGGGGCTCACTGTGAGCCTCAGAGGAGCCCCAGCTTGTCCCTGCTGCCCAGCTCTTAGAGGTTTCTGCCACCAAGCCCCACTTGTAGAGGTTTCTGACGCCAAAACAGGGACAGCTGAGCAGGACTTGTCCCAGTCCCATTTGCTGCCTGGCACAGTTGAGTAGATGAGAACTGCTGCAGGGTTACCACCATGTTGTGTGGCATATAGGGAGGTGCAGAATGTGCCTCTTGGCTGTCCCTGCTGGGAAGAAAGATGCCAGCCAGCACAGGAGGGGCAGGGGATGGAAAGGTAGACACCGTTTTCCCTGCAAAGCAGAGCTGGGTTCGTCAGTGCTCCGCCATGACTTGGTGCTGAAAACCTGGGCCTCAGTGGTCTTCAGAAGAACACATGGGCCTAAATCCTACTGGGATCAGCATTTCTTAGAGGTGTTGGAGTTTTCTGAGGAAAGGAACTAAGCCCTGGGACAGCAAGCAGTATTCCCACAGTGCTGTCAGGGCAAAAATCCCAGCAAGCTGAAGACATCCCGATGAACAGATTAGGGGGGTTATGGTCCCTGTTTGCCTGGGAAGGCAAGGTCCTGAACATGAAGATGGAGGTGCAGATGGTCCCCTCAGTTCCATTTCTCTGTATTTCTGGGAGTCAGAGCAATCCTGCTTGAGCCTGTGAGGA